GAAATCAATTATAAAAAAGGTATTTTCAAAAAAAGGTAAAAATTCAACATGGTCCTTAGATTTCTACACCTTGACACATTGCAAGAGAGAATATGCAGTATATCGCCAACACACACCATGGCATCTGATAGTCCAAAGGAATGACAGTGCAATATGTCGGGGCAACGCAAGACCCCTTCAGTTGTGCGCGCCCCTAACATGTCGCATCTGCACTACTTGTGATATCTTTGCTTTAAAGGAGAACTATGGGGGTCAGGGCTTTTCTCCATAGTTCTCCTTAGGGTAACGGGAGGACACAAACTAGCCTCCTCCCGTCACCCTAGGCTCAGTATACCGCGAGCTACAGCTTACTATATACCGAGACGCCGCAGCGGATCCCGACCTGGACGACGGGATCCACCCAGCTGCGTGAGTGGACACCAGTTACCAGCTGGTTATTGCTGCACCCCCCCTCCCCCATACGCCAGGCCTTTCCATGAAGGGGTGTGATGAGAATAGATTGTAAGTCACCAATCTGTATAATGAGGAAGAAGAATCAGAAAAAAATTCTGGGGCTTCATTGAATTGACTTCCCCAGACTCGCTAAGGACCGAATGGAAGGAGTAAAATCAGTCTGATGCGCCCCCCAAAAACCCTCCAGTCTGACCGCTCTGCTTCTCACTGACCACTTTACAAATGATTTTTTAGCTTCCTTCCATGCGCCGCACCCACCGGCATCCACTTACGTTGTGTTTTACCGCCATTTCCTTCCCTTGTTCGCTGGAAATTTTCCTTAAGTGCATCAGGTCAACTTTGTTGGCGACGAGAATCATGGGGAACGACTCCCTGAAAGAGGAAGAGAAACCTTCAGGATGCAGAATATTTGTTATAAAGATTAAGAAAAAAAATGCAGAGCCTCACACTTCCTACTGCAGTAAATGTGACGGTGACACCCTAAGGGTCCGCTTTTTAGCAGGCACCGAAAACGTGATTTCCAATGGATTGCCTGCTGTACCCGGAACACAGGATTCAGCTTCCTTTCCTGCCGCTGCTCTGCATTCCCAGAAGGGCCCGTGCACAGCCCTGCAGGCAGTATATTCACCCCTAGGTGTCACCTATCTATGTAGTGGGAATCAGTGAATCACAAGACTAACAGAACAGAATAACAGAACCAGGTGAACCCAGTGACAAAGATGAATGCCATCTAGGAGTTGCGGATTCATGTAGCAGGGAGGTGGAGTTCTGGAGTTCTTCATTCTTACCGGTCTTTGACCCTGAGGATGAGTTGGTGAAATCGATCCACGTGCTCAAAGCTGGCTTTATCGGTGACCGAGTACACGATCTCTGGTGTTAGTGTGTCATTGATCTTGCAGTCCAATATAATACAAATCTCACGACCCCGGAACCAGCGTTCACTACTCACCAATGAATCTACAGTCATTTAAATGGCCAGTCCGCTCAAAACTGATCAAGTGTTCAGTGGATTCTGGAGAAGTAGATGTGAACCCCACCTGGATGACATTTAGTTATGCTAAAGCAGGGGTAGGCAACCTCGTCACTCCAGCTCTGCCGAAATGACAAATCCCAACATGCATCTGCCTCTGGGAGTTATGTCTGTGGCTGTCAGGGCCGTGCAATGCCTCATGGGACTTGTAGTTCCACAACAGCTGGAGTGTCAAGGTTGCCTACCCCTGTGCTAAAGCACTGTGTATAAAATTACTATTGTCTCCCCCCCCCCGTATCACCCCTTTCACCATTTCAGTCCCACTGATCTCCTCCAGCCTCATTCAGCCACTTCCTGTCTACATGCAATTGTGTCATTGTTGGCTGCATGGCACTGCTCTGGACTGGATTCCTGATAGTGACAGCGGAGGGCCATTATACAGTCATTCAGCGAGAGCCATTTATATGCAGTCACTTTGTCTTTAATGATTTCTCACTAAGGAAGTGATCGTTATTTTCCATGGAATGGCTTACTCAGCAATTTTCAGCTCAAGTCACTCAGCGACAAATCGTTCTTCATTCACCTCTATGGGCTCAGCTATATATCTATGGAGGAGAGCAGTCTGTAACATGGGTTTAAAAGGGACACTGGTAATATACAGGGGTACAGGTACTCCTAAAATGAGATCCTAATAGGTTGGACTTGATGGACTAATGTCTTTATTCAACCTCAAATACTATGTAACTAAACGCTGGAGTTAAAGGAGAACTATGGGGAAAACCCGAACCCCATAGTTCTCCTTAGGGTAACGGGAGGACGCTAGTTTGTGTCCTCCCGTTACCCTAAGGAGAACTATGGGGAAAACCCGAACCCCATAGTTCTCCTTAGGGTAACGGGAGGACGCTAGTTTGTGTCCTCCCGTTACCCTAAGGAGAACTATGGGGAAAACCCGAACCCCATAGTTCTCCTTAGGGTAACGGGAGGACGCTAGTTTGTGTCCTCCCGTTACCCTAAGGAGAACTATGGGGAAAACCCGAACCCCATAGTTCTCCTTAGGGTAACGGGAGGACGCTAGTTTGTGTCCTCCCGTTACCCTAAGGAGAACTATGGGGAAAACCCGAACCCCATAGTTCTCCTTAGGGTAACGGGAGGACGCTAGTTTGTGTCCTCCCGTTACCCTAAGGAGAACTATGGGGAAAACCCGAACCCCATAGTTCTCCTTTAAACCTTAAAAATACATTCAAGTCCCTGAACAACAATGTATCTTATTTGTGTATCACTCGGCTGTAGATCCTCCAATCATCTCTGAATTGGTGCTGACACTGTCCTTCCTTCTGGAGGGGGGCTACGTCTGTTCCCCATGGCCCCTGTGTGTGTTGTAAAGTAGTCACCGCTCCAAGCTCCCCCCCGGGATGGACTACAATCTCATGTTTAGTTTAGTATCAGTGCCGACACAGTATTTGAGCAACAACTCGTACTCGCCCAAATGCTCCGATACCGGAACTTCTGGGAGATTTCCTCTGACCGGCAGTGAACATGAAGCCAGACGGCGGGTAATAACCGCTCAGCTTCCTGGTTGGTCGGGAAGCAGTCTCCACGCCTCCATGCCGTTTGGCCGGCTCGATGCAGATTGGCTGGAAAGCTGGCTTCCCGGGCAATCAGCATAGAGTTGACCAAACCGCATGGAGCCAGCTTCCCGGGCAATCAAGCAGTCGGGGGGCGGGTAATGACTCGCCACCCGGATTCCTGATTGCCCGGGAAGCTGGCTTCATGCTAGCGGAAGTACCTGTATCGGCGAGTACCGAAAGATAACCATTGGTGCATTCCTACTACATTTGTATTGTAGTCCATTACGGGAGCGAGCGTGGAGCGGTGACTACTTTAAAACACACACAGGGACCATGGGGAACAGACGTAGCCCCCCTCCAGAAGGAAGGACGGAGTCAGCACCAATTCAGAGATGATTGGAGGATCTACAGCCGGGTGATACACAAATAAGATACATTGTTGTTCAGGGACTTGAATGGATTTTTAAAGGTTTCACTCCGGAGTTTAGGGTCACTTTAAAAGGAGAACTATGAGGTACGGGAGGACGCTAGTTTGTGTCCTTCCGTTACCCTAAGGAGAACTATGGGGAAAAGCCCTGACCCCATAGTTCTCCTTTAAGGTTTCACTCCGGAGTGTAGTGTCACTTTAAGTTGTAGCAGAGAATAGAGAAACTTTGTAGCGATTTAATCTCTACATACAGATTTCGGTTAAGAATTCCTAAAGTTGGAGGTGATCAGTAATTAATGAATAGTCCGACGCGGTCCTTTAGGGTTTACGTCCATTTTAAAGCCAAGTACACATTCTAAATCTGCAGAATCACGAGGGATGAGGACGACGACTTCTGCGCCGTGATGTCACAGTCACACCTGGAAAGCTGGCACCCTTCCTGCACATCGACAGCTCCGGGCTGTTCGCTCAGCTCACGCCATGTTTACTTGTCTGCGCAGGTCAGCCGGGCTGGCTGGGTGCGGCCGGGTTCAGTAATGACGTTTTTAAGGAGCGGTTCAGATAAAGGAGAACTTGAATAGGGAGGCGACTGACATCTGGCAGCGGTCCATCGCAATGTACAGCAGATAACCCATTCGCTGCCGGAGAGCCGCAGCCAACATCTAGGGCAGTGGTGGCGAACCTTGGCACTCCAGCTGTTCTGGAACTACAAGTCCCATGAGGCATTGCAAGGCTCTGACAGCCACAGACATAACTCCCAGAGCCAGATGCATGTTGGGATTTGTAGTTTTGGCTCAAAAACTACAAAATCGGGACTCCGCAGAGAATTCTATTCACCGACATAAATCCATTACCGGAACATATCCTCCGATTAGAAGTTATCCATATAGACTGCGGGTGCGAACCCTTGGAAAGCCAACTGTTGTGGAACTACAAGTCTCATGAGGAATTGCAAGACTGATGGCCACAGACATGACTCCCAGAGGCAAAAGCAAGCTGGGATTTGTAGTTTCACCACCACAGCTGGCGTGCCAAGGTTGCCTACGCCTGATAAATGGTTGATCACTGGGAATATGTCTGCCTGCTAGACTTCCCCTATACAGGAATGTCCCTTAAAGTGACCCCCGTCATACTGACCATTCAGAATCCGTACCAGAGAGGCACAAGGAATGCGGACTAGTGAGGCGCTATCGCAAGATGACCGACCTGGGTCCCCAGAATCAGAAACCAGAGAGATGACACCAATGGGTCTAATAAATCTACACAAATTAATTCATTTTGGATTATATCCAATATACCTTGATCATGTTATGGATTATAGATTGTGCAAGAAGCGCTTCCCATTGGTCAGCCTGGTCAGGTGACTGCAAACCAATGAGTGCTTGCCATTAGCAGACAGAATTTAAAATACAGAATGTGTACGGGTCCTACACCGGCAGCCACGGAGGGAACGGAAGGATGGGGTGAAAGAAAAGAAAAAAGGGGCAGAATGGTGGGGTAATTCCCTTTCCCCAAATTCACATGGGGGTTGTTGGGGGTTTGAAGCGGGCAGATTGGTGGGGTCATGGGGGTGGTTGGGGGTTTGAAGGGGCAGATTGGTGGGGTCATTTAATTTGTCCTGGAAGAGTGGAATTATCCTTTAGGTGTATTCTTCTAGCCCTGATGAGGGAGCATTCACAACCCCAAAACGCGTTGAACGCTTTCCTAATTTGATGAACAATTTCCTTGGACCCATTTGTTGGCCGCCCTTTGTGCCTTTTTCTTGAGCTTGGCCATGCGGGGTGAAGCGGCAGCGTCTAAAGAGATGTCCTCCTTTCCAGAAACGCTCCCACCCCGGGACTCTCCCTTGACATCCCCCGCAGCAACATCTTAGTGGGTCTAAGCTCTGAAGTTGGCGTTTGCCAAAACCTCAATGGGAAGTGGTAGGTGTGGAGGAGGTCATTGCACCCCCCTCTCCCAAATGTTCGAACCAGGTGATGGGCCCCAGCACTCCTACATAGGGTCAGTCACATGACCCTCCATACCTGAAAAGACCTGCTCAGTTAGCGAGGACTCCGGCAGTATGGGAAGGCGGCGGCGAGGAAGCACGGATGGGTAAAGCGCACATATACGGGGGGCACGTTATATGCAAACCCGGTCACTTGGCCCTGACAGGGTCTCTTTAAAAAGGAAATCTGTGCCAATATGCAGGCCGTCATGCTAAACACGCGTGACCCTTTTTTTTTAGGAATGCAGCACAGCATGTGTCATGTGTTGTGCGCTGCAATGAGTCATGCATTACACTCTTCTGTACAGTACAAAAGCACCACACAGAGCAAGTGGATTGCCACAAGCGTGAAAGGGCCCTAAACCTGTTTCGCTGCTGGGACTTGTAGTTCCCCCCCCACAATGGGCAGGCAGCACATTTACCATCCCGGCTGTCCCCAGAGTGAGCTAAAAAGGCGTTTATGGAAGCGATTAGCGCCCGCTGTCAGATGGGATGCCGAGGGAGGAGAAGTCAGCAGATCTGTCGGCCAGCATTACAGCAGTGACCAGAAGCAGGTTGGCACAGTGGCATGCCGTGCAGTGCGGTGAAATGCAGCACCTGTGCCGGGGACCCGGCCCTGTCACAGCTTGTCAGTCACTCCTGCTAAGATGGCCAGATTGGGTTCCTGTGCAGTCCCGGCACAGGATGTGACCCTCACCCCCAGCCACCCCCTCCTTCCTGGGGAGCGTTGTGCCATTCCTGGAATCAGACGGCCGACACGCAGCACAATACACAGAACTCTCAATACTCCAAATTCTGAGAAAATGCCCCGAAGAACCGAAAATTGATTTGTTGACAGAACTGCAACCTAATGGGAAAGGTATTACCGGCGTATAGGAGGAGCGGTGCCGGCGACTCAATAGAACCAATCTGTATTTAAATCGCAATATAAACATTCAAAATACATTATATGTCATATATAGTTTAATAGCAAAAGGGCTCGTCTATCCAGTCCTGAGATTTACACAGCTCTGTCTGGCATAGTAGAGGACCTGATTTCCTCTGCCGCAGATAAAACACTTACAGGTCTTGTCCCTGCCCCACCCGGTGACAGCACAGTGAAAGGAGAAGCATTTGCTCAGGAATAGTGCAATGCCCCTCTATGCATTCTCTTATTGGTTACAGGCCCGGATTTCCCACAAGGCCACCG